CTCTTGAATTCGAATCCTATGTTATGCCCAACACAGAGGTACGAAGGTTAGTACAGTCATCAGGATTCAAGGCCAGAAAAGGTCAGCTTTCAGAGAGGTTTGAGGGACTTTGCTGGCACTGTAACAAACCTGGGCATCTAGCTTTCCTGTCACGTAGACACTATGTGTTCTTGCCATTTTACACTTAGCTGTTGGGATTTTCACGATGGGGTTTGGTGGGCATCCCTCAACACCAACCACTACTGGTTTCCCCAAGGCTGACTTATTGGTAGTATTCGTCTTACACTGGCTATTCATAGGTCCTTGCTCTTCACAGTTCCAACAACCTTTCTGGGTAGCAGCCTTTCCTGCTGTGGTGAACAGCCTCTAGTCGATAGAACAATGTAGGTAAGGGAAGTCGGCAAAACGGATCCGTAATGATAAATTATTAACCCCCAATTTTAAGTTTTGTTTAATTTCATAAGTGAGACTTGTAAATAGATCATATATTCCTCCTAACAAACAAACAAAAAAATTCAATCTATCACTTATCATTCAAGTACTTACCAAGCCTTCCCATAATTTGCCCTAAGTTTACTGCATCCACCACATCTGAAGGCAACCTATTTCAAAGACCAACCACCTTTTTAGAAAAATGAAACTGCCTTAGTTGAAGATAACTCCTACACTGCCAAAATTTATATTTGTGTTCCCTAGTCCTACTATTCGTATTATTAATTGTGAAAAAAAATGATGCATTATAACTATCAATTCCATTAACAATCTTAAACACCTCAATCAAATCTCCCTCTATCTCTTCTTTTTTTTTTCAAGAGATAATAATTTAAGAGATTTGGATCTGTTCTTGAATAGCAACCTTCATATCCCAATTATCATTCTAGTAACCCGTCTCTGAACCATATTCAACAGTTCAATGTCTTTCCTAAGAGAAAAAGTCCAAGACTGAACATAATACTCCAAGTGTGTCCTAACTAGTGACCTATAAAATGAAGTTATGACCTCTTTAAGCTTGTATACAATATTTTTGTAAATATAACCTAAAATCTTATTTGTCCCACTACAAGTAAAAGCACACTGCGTGGATAGCTTAAGAGACTGATTAACCGAACACCAAGGTTCTTAGCTTTATTCATTTGTCTTATAAGTGATATTGTTTGTTAGAAGTTATAGAAATGCTTTTATTATTTGCTATAGATGTAAAAATTAACACAAGTTTTGTTCACTCTTTTATCTGTCTACTTATCTGTCTTTTTAACAAAAGATACTCACATTCTTTAACTGCAAAAGAACACTGCATTTTGTTCCCAATCAGAGAATGTGGATGTATTTTCCTGTATTATACTTGTTATCAATTGTACTTCTTGTTCTAGTTTAAGTATATATATTAGCTTTCTTCACTTGTAACCTTCTACATAGGTTCTAAGAGCATTGTGTTTAGTGCAGCTTTTGAAATTCAAATTAATAGAAAACAAGATGAAGTTGTAGAACATCAAAATAAATAATAAAAATAAGAAGAGAAAATGATAAGGATGGCTTTAATTCTCATATTTCTTGCTGCTTCCTATTTCTGCAGAAGTATGGCAGCTTTTGCAGGAATGTGTGATGGAGGATCATCAGAAGGTGGTTGCTTAGCAGCATCAAGAGATGATACTACAATTAATGCCATGGACTTGGTGAGTCTTTGTATTTTATTTTACTGTTTGTTTTAAGTATACACAAAGGCAAATGTTTCTCTTTGCCCGATTTCTTATACGTATGAATTATACATATTTGTTAGTTTGTGTATGAGTTAAACATGTTAACTTGTGTTGTGATGATCCCCACCTAGTGTTCTGACAGCTCTTTCCCATTCAACTATTAGGTCATATACAATAACCTCACGCAGCTCAATTTAATAAAGATACATAGTGAATTTCCAGGAACTGTTTATTAACACATAAGACATGTTACAAAAGATAATTCATGTACACTGGGAATGTGACATTCACATACAATGTGGTGAAGACATTGACATTACTGAACACTTTATGTTTGGATGTCAACCCATCTTAATTCAGGCACCAGTAGGTTGTCACCGACATGATAAAGCCTGTATACTAGGCACTAACTAAAAGTGCTAATTCGATCCCAAACTCAGTAGTTAAGTATTTATATCTCACAGCTCAGCATACATGGATTTCATGTTTACAATAATGTACATAACCCTGCATCACAAAACAATAAACACTGTGTACATTGAGGATGACGTAATGGTTGAGTTGCATCATAGTTTAAGCTTAGAAATGATGTAAATTGTTATATTCTAAGTTATTTTTGTGTAATGTAATAAATTTGTAATGACATGATAATATGTTTGTAATATTTATGTTCCAATAGATGACTGCATCTGGAGGAAGACATTACTTGGTTCCTCACAATGTGTAGAAAATAATATGTGTACGTATTGTTGCGTC